ATTTACATGTAATTTTTATGCTGTGATATTATCATTATTATTAATACTAGTATTATTATTATCATCGCGTATACATACAGATATATAGGTACATAAATGTGTGTACGTCTGTATATTGTATATTTTATATTGTATGTATATTGAGATCAGCGCGCGTTGCGGTAGTCTTTTCGTGCGGTGTCCGATAACGATAACGATAACTATAACGAATGTGAAACGTTTGAATACGCAACATGTATTTATTATACATATAAATAAATTTCTTCTTTTTGTACACTTGTATGCGTATTTTATTTACAACGAACCAAATATGTTTAAAATGATTAAACATTGAGTTAAATTAGATATAGATGATATTAACGGTTATATAAAAATGGAAGAAGAAAGAAGAAAGCACGATGCTCGTTAAAACACTGATTTCTTTAATTTTAGGGATCGAGGAGTTCCGATGGTTAAGGTATATAAAAAAGGTGTGGTGATCCGAAATGTTGAAAAAGTAGTGGAGATACAGACTTACAAAAAAACTGTTTCAAAAGAACTGCACAAGACAAGAACTGCGCTACTGTGACTTTGTAAAATCCCTAGCCAACAGATTTTGTACTCGATTTCAATTTTCTTTACTATCCATATTCGCAAACTTTTCTTAAAATAGATCTGACAAAGCGTTGACTGTGTAAACAAACAGTAATTAAATTAAATTAAAATTTTTATTTTTTATATACATCGAGAGTATTTGTAATACTACTGGAAATAATTGTAGTGATAGTACCAGTAGTAATTGTAGTAGTAGTAGTAGTAGTAGTAGTAGTAGTAGTAATAGTAGTAGTGGTGGTAGTAGTAGTAGTAGTAGTAGTAGTAGTGGTAGTAGTAGTAGTAGTAGTAGTAGTAGTAGTAGTAGTAGTAGTAGTAGTAATAGTAGTAGTAATAACAATAATAACAAGAAAAGTAATGATATCGGTAAACGCGATAATACTTCAATTTGTAACATACTATGAGACATTTGTATATGTGTCTTGCATATTGGACGGAGAATAAAGAGTATAACAAGTATTCTTTTGCGATGGCCTTTGAAGGGGGTGTGCCAGTAATTTTGCCATATTATCGTGCAACTTTGCTGCATTTTTTCCAACTTCTAATATGTATGAATAATTTGCTGTATCTAACTTTGCCATTTGAGCATAGATTTCTTCGCATACATTCTCAGGGCACGGAGGTTCATGTATATATAACACATCGATGAAGAAGTACCAGTTCTCCGTAAGATTATCAAAGTACTTTTTACTGGTTAGAAATTTTGGTATGTTGTTGGACCGAGAGTACATTAAAATTACTCTAGTGACAAATGTAGCAAGAGAGGTACTAGTATGCTTCTTTGGTGGCAAAGGTACTTTTGACTGTATCTTTTCAAACAGCTGGCCAAGGTCGTACGTATGTAACTCGTCTGCTGGTATCTCCTCGTCGATGCCATCCAAATGGTTAACTATACTTTTGACGTTGCCAGTAAAATCGCATATCCACTCGGCACCTTGAGAATTTAAAGTCATTAGCGCGTACTCGTGATTCCGTTGAATAGTTGATTTCAGACAAACAAAATGCTCCACGACCCGTTTCATCATAAACAGCGGTGTGTACTTAGCTCCTGTGGTAAATTTGAAAGGGGTAGAATTCCTTTCTCTGACAGTGTCGATCACGAATAAAATCTTCTCCGGCAAATTAATTCCCGAAAGATTGTCTAGAAATGTGTTGCTTTCAACGGAAAAAGATGGTCTGTCGTCCATTGTCGATGTCTTTCTCCTGTTCCGAAGTCACAGACGTCGTACGCTGCGACTCGATTGTCAATAATCGGTTTGGATTTTAATCGATGCAATGACGAATATATATATATATATATATGTACGAACTACATATATTTCTCGCTCAAACTTGTTTTATGGTCTAACCTCATTTACGGAAAATCAATTGATTTCACTTTTCACACTTTTACACTGTCTTATGCTGTTTATATTGTACATAACCTATGTCGCAGAAACATACCTGATCGGTATCGGTAAATAAGTAGAGTATGTATTCGACTAGTAGTCGAAGAATCTGTAAACCTAACGGTAGACATTGGAACTACATATTGGTACAATTGGTAACAAGTTTCAAAATATTGCCACTATCGACAAACAGCGCTGTTATCATACGCATGATTGAAGACCCTCTAACTAACTATTTAATTTATCACAATATCACAATTCCTTTTGCTAGCAATAGATTGCAATAGATTCGATAGATTGCTCAGAGAGGTAACGATAGCACGTTTTACTGGTGCTAGAACTAGAACCTCGCGAGCGTGTGACAGGAAAGTATAAATATTATATGTATGCATGTATACGCATATACGATACTTTGTCTAAAATCTAGGCTCGTACTATGTATTTCGTGTCCTTTCTGTAAATACGTACCTACGTACATGCGTACACGTGTCTTTCTGGTTTTTATGTACGATATGTATGCATGTACAACTATACTCTTAGCTCCATCTATAATCTGTATGCATATGTAATACGTATATGTATGTACATATGTAGTCTGCCTGGAAAGAACTCGAATGATCCAATGCAATGGATTTCGTCAAGTCTTTTGTCAAAGTAGGTAAAACTGGTGCTAAACGGACGTTTAATCGATAGAAGAGGAAAGAACTGGTTAGCATTCTTATCCTGAATTAAGACGTTTTCTGAATTTACGTTTACAGGGAATCGAAAGAGTTTCAGTTAATCAGTCTAATATTCGAATTGATATCCACGAATGTACCACATACATAGATATTCGTAGTTCGTAGAAGTGCCAGGCGTGCCTCGAGTCTTAACTTGGAAAAGCAATATTAGTGAATCGAGTTCGAGCTGCGAATAGCAGAATAGCACAACAGAAATATCGATCTCTTTTTTCGATTTGTAAATTCGTAAAAGCTTTTTACTTTATCATGTCGACGTTATTCTACTAACAGAAAAAGTGGAGGGGAAAGAAAGCATTAAGAGACAAAGGCGACCTCTGTACGGCAACGGTAGCGCATCAAACTATGCATTGCATTGCTGTCGAAAATGGCGTCGGGCTCGGAGCTGCCAGAATATTCGTCCCCAGCGAAACGACGAAAAGTTGACGGCAACGATTACGTCGGTACCAGCACAGTGAAACCTGATTTACGATACTGTGAGACATCGCACGACACTCCGAATGAAGATTTCGAAGGTATTTTGAGAAAAATATGCTGAATTTGTTAATGAAATTTGTGAGTTTGCAAGATGGCGGTTCAAAAGGCGTCAACTCCTCTAGCCCGATCGCATCACGGTTGTTCGCAGTTGATGCGAGATCAAAACCGCCATGACAGTTTTTACATGTCTATGGAATAAATGTCTGTTGGCGTAACTACCTTTTCGATTTTAATCGATATGAAAAATATTGAAAATCCGCTGAATTTTCAAGTAATTGCCGCGTTTCGCGATATTTTTCCAGTTTATTCAATCAGGAAATCAACACTTGAACAATAGAATTTTCTATACATGCTGAGAAGAGAAAGAAAACTAGTGACAGCGGGGGGATTCGATGTCATGCGCAGGGTGGCCGGACGATATCCCACCATAGACATAGTGGTGGAATGTACGCGGTGGAGGTAGAAATAACATAACGGGTGTACTTTATTATTATACATATGGCGACGTTAGGTTCACTTGGGCCCCAAGCCTTGGGGACCGTTTGAGACGCTTAGGCGACGACGCTTGGGCTTCGTTTCATTTGAATTTTCCGAGTTTTAGGGACATTATTGTGCCACTGTGTGCCTTTAATAGAGTATTATTCTCAGTTTGTGTGAAAATTTCTGCTATTGCCGTATTTAATATGGAATCAGGTAAGATATACTTGAAATAATTGTGTAATAATTTAAATACGAGTTATGGATTTCTATATAATTTATTAGATATATGTATACTAATTCTAGTGTTCCCATCTAACTTCTTGCAAATGTTTTATTCTAACAAAAATTATTCTACATATAGATAATGACAATTGCATTAATAAACCTGGGACCAGTTCTATGCCACGCAGTATCATGAACATTGGAACTTTTACAGGTAAAACATTATTATTTCTGTACGAGTTTAAATTTTGAAAAGAAGACACATATTTTGTGAACAATCCAAAATATTAAATTTCTTCTTTATAAGTTTAACTCTGTAATTTTATATTAATACTTTGTTATATTAGAAATTAGCTAAAAATCATTATGTTACGCAGATATTTACAGTGACAGAAGTATTGGCACCATGGATCCACCATGTATGAAGAAAGCAAAAAGGATGCAATTTGTTAATGTCTGACTTAAGAATTCTACTTTTTCATTCTGGCTAACAAAAATTAAGGGATGTTGTTACAAGACAAAGTGCACAGTGTGTATAACAGTGCAACTCACCGTGAGAATATGAATAAAGATTCTGAGAGCAAGGATGAGGATCAGAGACTAGTTCTATATGCCTATAAACGTATGGTGAAGCGAGCAAAAATTCTACACGCACCCGATATTATAGAGAGCACAGTAGGAACTTGCAATCGTTTGTACATTATACGGATATGCTGTCTGATGCATCTCTGCGCGATAATATAGCACAAAAAATAATCAAAATGACCTTAAGATTGCCACTAGATGATACATTTATATTTAGCCGTGACTCTCGATATTAGTAAGCATGAAAATCATGGTTACAATATATTGTAGGAAGGTTAGAATCTTAAACTTCTAGGTGATAACACCTATGAGATATTAAATGAGTGACGTCGTTTAGGAATGTTCCCTCTACGAATTAAAGAAAGTATAGTGAATTTAGAAGTCGAACAATTTTGGCCAAGAGATTTGCTTAATGAGAGAATATAATTGTAAAAATATTGTAACAGCGGCAATGATGTGTTTTCATCATTGCCACATTCAAATGTTTTAGTAAAAAAAAATCAGGCTTTCGGAATACAAATACAAATTGGTTTACTTATGAAATAACAGATAGCACGTATAAATATGTCAACAACAATGTATATAAAAGGGAGCTAATTTCACAGGAACTAAGTAATGTTATTATAAGTGAGGACATCGAATCAAAAAATGCCGACGACTGAACATATTTTTCATATGTTTATTTTTTAATGTCTATTTAACTATTGTATATGTATATATTTTGTATAGCTTTGTATGTTATTTTATATGTATGGTTCCGTATATTATTTTGTATGTACAGCTCTGTATATTTTCGTCTATGTATGTTTGTGTTTCTATATTCTATGAACTATTCATATTTCTTCGGTTCACAGAAACATAAAATTTGCCAATAATAAATAACTTTTTATATTTCATTTTGTACTTCGTCTTTTCATATTCGCTCGGTACTACATATTTATGGTGATTTGATAAAAATTAAAGACTATTTAAATTTTTCTGTTGAGAAGAACATCTGACAATATGGTGCGATTGTCGTCGTCTAAGCGCCCCCAAGATAATTGGACGTCACGGTATTCTCGTTATTAGTATAACAGAATACCCGTTACTTACACCGCGAGCGCGTATTTTCTCCCACTATACCTACAGTGGGATATCGCCCGGTCACCCGGCCCGCCGCTTTTCAACATTTCGAAAGCGATGATTCGATTATCCTTAAATATCAAATTATCAGTGCGAACTTTTTTATCCGTATTATGTTTACGTTCGATAGGAGTAAAAAATACTACGGATGTTGTAGCGGTGTGCTGGTGGACAACATTTCGTAGAAAGTAAGAGTTTTATCCTTGATAATTAGTTGACAATTGTTAATTATTGTAATTGTTAGAGATATTTTTGTTATATGCTTAATCAGGGATTTATTAAATAGCCAATTAACCGATTGCTATTGCAGAGACGTATGGAGGTGGTGGTAGCAGATTCACTGAGTTAAGTGACGAATCTAAATCAACTTCTGTTTCCCCAGATGCCACAAACTTGATGACCGCTCTATCTAGAATCGATTCGACGAGCGACGATACTGGCTGCCCGTAAGTTCTTTTTATATATCTCTTTGGGTATCTTATATATACTCTTTGGGTATACTTTCATTTTGCTGATTCTTTTGGTTCGTCGCGATGTTTTAGGATCGATACAGCAGACGAGAAAGACGAAGTGTCGTCGACAGTTTCAAATTTATCCGATTTGTCGGGACTATCCGACTTTTCGGGAGAAGGAGAAATTAATCATCATTGGAGGAACGCGTCGTCGTGGGTTCAGAAGCAAATGTTGATAGGTGCTGATCCTAGAGATCTTCTTCAACATATTCTTATGGATTCGACACAAATACCTGAACAGGTCGATGACCTGACCCTCTGGAAGGTGCGAAAATGCGATTCGTCTAGCCACATTTTTATAATCGTTCGAATCATAGAATCCGTATGAATATATTTCAGATCATAATAAATGTAATGTCTGAACCGCCGCGTCGACAGAAGTTACGACACATAAACACTTTGTCGGATGTGGTCAGACTAATACGTAATAGTAAGAGAATAATAGTGTTAACCGGAGCGGGCGTAAGCGTCAGTTGTGGCATTCCTGATTTCAGAAGTAGAGACGGTATTTATTCCAGGCTGGCTCAAGATTTCCCAGACTTACCAGATCCACAGGTATGTAGAGAAAACATAGAAGTGTTTAAATTCAATGTTCTTGTTGTTAATACGACAAATTTTGCTTACTATATTCTCTATAAATTTGCATGTTGCAGGCTATGTTCGACATTAATTATTTTGGCCAAGACCCAAGACCGTTTTACAAATTCGCACGAGAAATTTATCCTGGACAGTTTAAACCAAGTCCTTGTCACAGGTTTATACAAATGCTTGATAAGCAGAAAAAGCTCCTTAGAAATTATTCACAAAATATCGACACGCTTGAGCAAGTCGCAGGCATTGAAAATGTGATCGAATGCCATGGTATGTATGTAAACACGCGAGCGCGCAAACACACGTATACACATAATAATATAATCAGTTTGTGATTCACAAATGAACGAGCCATTAGTTGAAAAATGTTTGTGAAATATGTATATTTTACGTTCAAGGTTCGTTTGCAACAGCGTCCTGTACAAGATGTAAATATCAAGTGAGAGCCGATGATATTAGAGAGGACATCTTTGCACAAAGAATACCTTTGTGTCCAAAGTGTAAAATAAACGCTTTGCCATCTATATCAGAATATAATTCTAATGAAAATTATAGAGGTAATTCGAACTGTAATAATATCATTGTTTGCGTTATGTTTACTGATACTCTGTGTGGTCTTATTCAAATTGTTAATTTGTTAGCCGCTTGTCAATTTCTTTTGTACAAAGCATTAGCTACCTAGTGATAGTTTTTGGTATTAGTCTTTGCTTTAGCGCGTCGCGAGTCCGTGGCCATGAGAGAACATTATCTGCTCTTTGCGGAATACGTCTTCGCTATACGTGCTGTTGCCATTTACTCTGATCTGCACAAAAGTTGATACATCAATTGTAACTCCGAGTAAGACCTTGGCTTGTTTATAAGCGCACATAAGGTAAACTTTTCAAAGTTGCATCATGTTAGTTACCCGTGCGCGCTGTTTAGCCAGATTTTTTTTATTCATATCTTGATTCGGCGTCGTGATTTACCGTTCAATGAATTTTTCAAAATTGAAGAATGGGACGCGTGTTGTCGTTATCGATCGTTATCAAGTGAAAGAAACTGCGCAATCTGGTACGGGAAGCGGAGTTAAGAAAACTGTCGGTACCTTGTAATAATCACGAGAACATTTCCAATTTGCAGATTTGGTAACACACGGGATCATGAAACCAGACATTGTTTTCTTTGGCGAAGGACTACCTGATGCTTTTCACGATGCAATGGCCAAAGACAAAGACGACTGTGATCTCTTGATCGTAATCGGATCATCTCTGAAAGTTCGACCAGTAGCTTTAATTCCTTCTTCTATACCATCCCATGTACCACAAATCTTTATCAATCGTGAATCGCTGCCGCATCTCAAGTTCGACGTTGAACTCTTGGGCGACGGCGACATCATTATAAATCAGTTGTGTCACTTGTAAGTGATCGGAACCATGATCGGAATCTACGCTTCTTTTTACGAGTGTGTTATTTTTCTACATTTTTCCAGAATGGGAGACATCTACAAGGAAGTGTGTTGGTGCGATGCAATTCTTAAGGAAGCAACGCAGCTATTACCGTTACGTTATTTACCAGAAGATTCATGGGAACAGAGTCAAGACACTACCAACACCGTGTTATCGCGAGATAGCGACGAGGACGATATCAAGACTCAAGATGCATATTCTTCTCTTGAAAGCCAAGATCCGAACCAACATTCCTCAGAGAACGCGAGTGTCATTTCATTGTTTCGAAGCGATCGCATGAATAGCATAAAAGGAAGGTTCGACCTTTTACAGGAGAGTCCCAAGAGAAGATTAGGTGAATCGTGCGAGGAAAGTAGCCCGAAAAGAATAAACTTTGGTGCTCGTTCTACGTTAGAGTTTCACTCGTCCTCGTCGATAACAGATACTTCAAATTGTTCGACCGATTATAAAGTTCATTTAGTCTCGATGGAATCAATGACGAAAGAACAGGGAAAAGTATATAATTTAGAGTGTCAAGTATGTCCGAAAGTTGTCGAGTTTTCATCGGATAGTACAGAATTAGAGTCGTCATTGAAATCAAACAGCTGCAGTGAAAACACAACATCCGCTCCCGGAGTCGATAAAATGAATTTCAAGCCGAGGCAAGTATCCATCGATTCCGCATTAGATTCTGGACTTGGTGATAGTTGCAACAGCGTCGACAGTAGAGATGAGAAAAGCGATGATAGAAAGAAAGAATTAAAATCTGGAAGATTAGGAAGACATTGTTGGCAGTCGAAATTGAGAGAAAGTCTTGCCACGAGGCTACCAGGTACACTACTACGTCTTCTCTATTCATCTTCCCAGCTCCGTCGCTATTTTAAAGTTACACAAGTTTTTGTTCGTTTACGCGAAATTTGTTTCCATACTAGATTTCCGTTTCTTTTTCGATAAAGACAAATTATTTAATCATTTCTTTCTCAACAGAGAACTCGTACTATCAACTAACGCCTGGAAAATATATATTCCCTGGAGCGGAAGTGTACTCGGAGCCCGAGGATTACGATCAATGTACGGTATCGGTTAATTCCGAAAGTTCTGAAAGCGATAGCGTATCGTCGTCCGCGGAGGAAGAAGAAGAAGAAGAGGAAGAGGAAGAGGATGAAGATGAAGAAGAAGAGGAAGAGGATGAAGAAGAGGAAGATGAGTGTGAAGGGGAGGGAGGGGAAGATAAGGTCGAAGAGAAGATAGAGCAAAAAAAGAAAGATAAAAAGACGAAAATGGACTTGCAGGACCAACATGCACATCAGGAATGTGAACCGAGAGAAAAGGGTACGAAAATCTTGTCATTGGTGTATACCAATGTTTTTGCTCATACGTAAAAAGTAAAATGATAACATAATCTCATGCTTATAATACTTAAATCTAAATTTAACAGGAGAGGACGATGTATCGTTGGGAAACAAAAGTGTTAGAGTCAACGTTGATACCCTAAACGAAGAGATAAAGTGGATGACGAATTGCTCTTACACTGGTTAATCGAAAGGTGCGTATGAAGAGCAGCGAATTTTGATTCGCGTTACCTTTGATAAACTTTCAAGCCCAACAAAATCGCTGAATGAGTTTGTTGTTGAAGGAAAAAATAGTGCAATCATTGGCAGTTGTACAGTGCATGTCTACAAGTATGACTGCCTTTTCCAAGGGAACTCATATCCTTTGTTGTTAACTACGGTGTTCCGTGCATAATCACATAGAAATTGAATGAATTGCAACTGCTGTTACACCCACTGTTGTAAATATTCTTTATTCGAAACACTATACGTATTTCGGAGTTTGATAAAGCACGAGTAAAAGTTAACAACGTGTTGGATACGATTAAAATCGATTTATGACTTTCGTTTACATTCTTCGTATTACGTTTTGTATCGATTCGTTTCTCGGTTGATCGAAGGAATAGACGAAACTAGTGTTGCCTTACGGACGGATTTATACACGATACGATAGAACGGTGCCCTCCCTTTGTTCGTTCGTAACAAAGCTATTACGTTAGAAAATAAAGTTAATTTTACCACGAATTGTAAATATTCTATCAAAACTTGTAGATTAAAATTGTTCGATTCATCTCGTGCAATCGTAGGAAAGTCAATAAATTTTAAATATTATATTCGGTATGTTTGCGAAAGTAAAAGTGAACATATTGGGCGCGCCTTAATAATGGAACACGAAACGGAAGCGAACTTAACGATAGCCGTTTTTCTTTCGCAAAGCTAAAACTTCTAAATAGACGTAAATAGTAATATGCAGCGATTTTGTTCCGAATCTTTCAACCGAATGTATGTATGTATGTATGTATGTATCAGTGTGTATGTTGATTTGGTGGCATGACCGTTTATTGGTCACTGGAGCGGGACCTAATTACGACTACTATTCGTGTAATGGGAATCAGAGTTTCCAGGAATTACCCTGTATCAGAACTGTATTCTTTCCGCCAGAAAAGTGCGAGAACGCTGAAAAATAATTTTAATGGAAGAAAATAGATCGACCACTAAGCTGTCAATAGCAAACACTACTGTACATAGTAGCGCATTATACTCGTATAATGATCGAAGTAAAAGACATTGAACGGATCGTCCCAAAAGAAAGTAACCATAAACAAGATTCACCATTTTCTTACAGTGGAAAGGAATGTATTATAAGAGCGGGAAATAGTATTGCGACGTAAATACTGATGTCTTTGTTACTCAGCATCGCCGCTTTAATTGTAACTAAATGTTACTTTACTAACTACTTATGACGGTCTGCTCCCTATTGCATCTACTGTTACGAAATTAATTATTAGAGATTAGAGCTGAAAGAGTTTGTAAAGGAATTTTAACTATTTGTGCATCTTTTATATTTTTTGTTAAAAAAGTTTCTTTAACAATGTACAACGAGGCGCGAACAGAAGAAGTATTAATTTCGTCACAAACTTTGTAATAGATGAAATAGAACAAGCGATGCTACGATTATATTTATGTTAATATATACACTATGTGGTATTGCATCTCTGAAAGAGTGATAAGGT